GTGGTGATTGTGCATCTCCTGTACGTAGCGCGCTTACTCTAAAATCTTTTTCCCCAACTTTAGCAAGTATCCTATCTGCACACCTCCCTTCTTTACCAAAAGTATGTAGTTTTTCTCCCTCGGTATCGTATACCTATCATCGACGAAGACGTCACGGGTAAGACGACACCTGGGTAAACATTGGCAGCATTTAAACTTCTTCTAACCGACGCTCCACAGTGTACCCGAGGAAGGCCTATTAAGAAGGCCGAAAACGTTTGTACTCCAGTTAATAAGGCTAGAAATTAGTGAGAAAGGTTTTGTGCTGTTAGTCTTAGAAATAGTTCTAGCTACATATGCATAGTAGAGTAACAAACATAGCATCTAAATTTGCTAAATATCAAGTAATGCACGCATGCAGTGACACGCATTGCATGATGAGGGTATGATCCAGGCCTCATTATTCCTAATACCAGTAGTCCAGTAAAAACACAAAAAGCCCCAATCTTTTCAATCAATAATTATACAATAGAAAAATAATTTTTTTTTTTCTATTCTAAAATTAATGCTCGGCTAAATCATAATTTTACTAGACTACAGGTTCACTTGGCACTAGCAACACAAATAGACAAGCAAATCAAGTTGATAAACAAGTTGTTTAGACTGTTAAAAGGGAAATTGGTGTTCACACTGGGATATTTTAAAGCAAGTTTTTATCGTTTCTTGTTCCTTGTGTTAATAATTTACAGCAAATTGATTAACATATGCCATTTTATAATGAAAGTTATATGTACCCCTTCGATTCATGCTTGTACCCCTAGGGGTACATGTACTCCCAGTTGAGAACCATTGTGTTAGCAAACCCTTTCTTAAATATTTTGAATATCACCACTGAGTTTGTAATGTGTTAACTCTTGTATCCATTTGCTTCCTCAGACACTATTATTGGAATATTCTTGAACTATTCAGTAAGATTTGTGGGAATCTTACGCATATAAAATAATAATTTTCTATTAAATTTATAGCAACAGCTTTCACAAAATTTTAAAACTTTGCATACATTTGTATTTTCAGAAACTGATTTAATAATTTATTGAAAATAAAAAATTTTGTATTACAGTATATATTTTCAGAATTTATAGCTCATGTTTCAAATAAAATGGAATCATTCAAATATATTCTTATTTGACTTAATAATTACATAATAATAAATTGCACCAAAATGATTAAACAAAAAGTTTACTTTTGAGAAACAAAAGTTATTGATGTTGATGAAGAATTTTAATTTTATTCACTACAGACAAAATTTAGTGTTTCTTGTGATGTGTAGGCAGGACAGTAACTAGAGATTGCATTATCAGTAAATCAATAAACTGATTTACCAATAATGCAATCTCTACTTATTGACATAAATAAAAAATGCATCAATAAATATACTGGTAATTGAATAGTTTTTAAAGTAAATTTATTAAAAATACATACACATTTAATAATCATTTTAAAGCCAAATATTTATTTGTATACATTTCATGTATATTTATATTTTTATATACAAATTAAAGAAATAGAAGTGTCAAATGTTTTTATTTAAACTGTAAAACTAGTTTACATCATTTATCTTTTAAATTATTACTTTACAGTGCTTTACAAGTTTTAAAATATTGTATTAAAGCACTATGCTGGATAATTTGGCAATTTATTTCTTTACCCATAATGCCTAGAGTTAATAGTGATTTTAATTGACAAAATGGAACATATTTATTTGAATGTGAGTGCTCATACTGATCACTTTTCAATCATGACAATTAAAAAATTATGGTAAGCTCTATTTTTCAGGCAACAGAGTTGTTGCTTTTAAAAATGGAAGAAAGTAAGTACAGTAGACTCTCCTATAACGCGGTAGATACGTTCCACTTTATAAGAATTTTGCGTTGTAGAAATCCTTAAATATATGAGCCAATCACAGCCCGACACGTGTGAAGTTTACAGACTATGGCTGTTTGAAAGGTTTTCTTCCATAAAATTAATCAATTCTAGACTAATTTGACTCAATATTTCCAAAATACATATAATTTTTTGGGAATAATCCGTATAAACTATGCTATAAACAAAAATATACTTACCGAGTGTGCACTGTTCGACGTCGCCATTGCTTAAGCTTGTTTTTGTTGCGGAACAGCGCACCAAATGGCAGTCACGATTTCTGATAAGTTATTTTTCTGCGAAAAATTCGTTAACTTTGGAGACATCATTAATAGAAATAATTTTTATGGCCGTTGAATAAGAAATGTTTCTTTCACAAGAAATATATAAAATTACAGTGCTGTATTAGACTTACGGTACCTAATTTACATACTGTACAGACGATAGTAAACTCAACTTACCCGTCTAGACTCTCTGTAGTGTGTAAGTAGTTCAGCTGCTCATCTACTATTGGTCCAGATTTCACCAATCTTGTCGCGACACGAGTCGGCGATGAGGTTTTACTCGTCTCTTTTAGCATCTTTATACGAATACTATCGCAATTTTTTTGCCGTGTTATAGGAATCCGCGTTATAGGGGGGGTCTACTGTACACTAGGGATTATTTAGTGGCTGACCTACCAATAAATCATCAACTAAACAATCACTAGTGCACTACTACTTTCACTTGAACTCAAAAATTTAAAAATTACTAGTTACTTATTGATACACTAGTAATGTCTTAAAAATTTACCATTTTACCAGAGATAAAGTCAGAAAATTTGCAACCCCTAGCATTAACAGGCATAACAGACTCACATCATCACCAAGTTTACTTGCTAATAAAATAGAATCAATTAGAATTAAATATATAGACAATTCTTGCATTGATTTTATAACAAAAATGTAATCCTTATATATAGTGCTCTTTTTCAAAAAAAAAAAAAAATGACTGACAGTATGAAAATGTGGCTGCAAACCTGTGTTTTTATTATTATTATTATGTTTGGTTTAGTGGGTTATACTCGGATGATACCGGTGGCTATGTACTATGCCAGACCAGAGTCAAGGCATAGCAACCAAAAACAAAAATTAAATAAATGTGTCAGTGTCTGTATTCAGGAATTTCCTAACAATGCGGCATGTATTCAATATAGTGGCCTTCTGTAGTGTGATGTATGTATTTCTCCTCAATTGTAATGTTCCCAGGCTTTTGTGTAGTGTGTGTGGTATCCTGTACAGGAGAGAACGACAGGTACAATAAGCACCCTATCCATCCTCCACAGATGCCTTATTTCCTGGGCGAGTTCTGTGTACTTGCTAATTTTTTCAGTGCATGTGTTTTGTACATTGTGAGTGTTTGGAATGGCTATGTCTATAATGTATGTGATTTTATTGTGTTTGTCAATGAGTGTGATGTCTGGTCTGTTGTGGTAAATTGTTTTATCTGTGATTATGGCTCTGTCGTAATACATTTTGTGCGTGTTATTTTCCAATACTGTCTGTGGAATATACTTGTAGTATGGTTCGTGGATGTCTGCCAATTTGTGTTTCTTTGCAAGCTCTTGGTGTATTATATTTGCTACTTGATTGTGTCTATGTAAGTAATCTGTCTGTGCCAAGAGCTTGCAACCAGAAGTGATGTGTTGTATAGTTTCTGGCATGATGTGACATTTTCTGCATGTGTCATTTGTGAGTGTTGTATCTTTGAGTATGTGTTTTCTGTAGTTTTTAGTATTTATGACCTGATCCTGTATGGCAATCATGAATCCTTCCGTCTCCCCAAAGAGGCATCCCCGATCTAACCAGCTGTTTGACGCAGTTTTGTCAACAAAATCCTGGGCCAGGTCGTAAGGATGCCTGCCATGGAGAGCCTTTTGAGCCCATGATTGCTTAATGTTGTCTATGCTTTTTATATGTTGTGTCATGTCTGTATGTTGTGAGTGTAAGTTTAATGGTGTGTTATTTGAGTCTGCTAGAGTTACTGCTTTATGTAACTGTGATGTTTCTTGTTTCTTGTAGAAAAACTCTCGCAGTGACTGTATTTGTTTGTAGTGAAGGTTAACTATGTCAATCAGGCCACGTCCGCCTTCTTTACGTGGAAGGGTTAATCTTTCTGTGGCGGATTTAGGATGATGTTGTTTATGCTTAGTAAGTGTTGTTCTTGTTTTCCTTTGGAGTTGCTCGAGATCTGTGTGAGTCCAATGTATAACTCCAAAAGAGTATGTGAGTACTGGGATGACATATGTGTTTATTGCTTTAACTGTGTGTTTTGCATTTAACTGTGTTCTAAGTATAGCGTTTAACCTACTTTGGTATTCTTTAATTAATCGTTGCTTTATTTGTGTATGTTCTGTTAGTTTGGCCTGTTGGAATCCTAAGTACTTGTAGAACTCGCCCTCTTCCATGGATTCAATAACGTCTCCATTTCCAAGTGCAAAATCTTCTTTCTTCAGGATTCCTTTTTCTATGTGAAGTTTTTTGCATTTGTCTAGGCCAAACTCCATTTGTATGTCCTTAGTGTATGAATGTGTGATTTGTAGGAGTTGATGAAGTTGTTTTTGTGTGGATGCATAAAGTTTTATGTCGTCCATGTACATGAGATGTGAGAGTGTAAACTGTGTTGTTTTTTCGTGTCTGATATTGTAGCCGTATTGCGTGTTGTTTAACATGTTGGATAATGGATTCAGGGCTAGGCAGAACCAGAGAGGACTCAAGGAATCTCCTTGAAAAATTCCTCGCCTAATGAATATTTCGTTTGTTTGTATGGAAGTGTTACTAACCCTGAGATGTAGTGTTGTTCTCCAGTGCTGCATAGTGTTTTCGAAGAATGCAATGAGTGATGGATGTATTTTGTACATGTGTAGAATATGTAGCAGCCAACTGTGTGGAACACTGTCGAATGCTTTTCTGTAGTCTATATATGCCATGTGTATGTTTCTGTGTTGTTTGTGTGCTTGCCGTAGAATGACTGAATCTATGAGTAACTGTTCTTTGCATCCCCTGTGATTTCTACGGCAACCTTTTTGTTGTTCTGTAAGAATGTCGTGTTCTTCAACATGTTTGTATATTTTGTTTGTGATACAGGATGTCAATAATTTGTAGAGTGTTGGAAGACATGTAATTGGTCTGTATTGTGTGGGGTCTGTGGTTTTGTTGTTTTTAGGTTTCATGTAGGTAATGCCCCGAGTAAGAAATTTTGGCATGTCTTGTGGATTGATGATGATGTGTGTTAGATGTTTAGCTAGTTCCTGGTGCAGTGATGTAAACTTTTTGTACCAGAAATTGTGAATGTTGTCTACACCAGGTGTCTTCCAGTTGTGTGTTCTGTTAACAGCGTAGCGAATGTCGTGTATGTTTATTTCAGCACAGGGCATACTTGGTATGTTATGCAAGTTTCTGTTCTCCTCCTTGATCCAGCCTGCATCAGCATTGTGTGTAACAGCATTGGACCAAAGAGAAGACCAATAAGTTGTGAGTTCTTCTTCTGTTGGTGTGCCACTGTGCTGTGTATCAGTGTTTGTTTTGGTACTGATTTGTCTGTAGAAAAGTTTTTCATTGTTTGTGAATAATTTATTTTGTTGTTTTCGTAGTGTACATGTTTTGTATCGTTTGAGTCTACGTGCTTTGGCTGCGAGTTTTTGTTTTAGTGTATCGATGTATTCTGTAATGTGTGTGTTGTGATGTTCATGTTTTGTGTG